GTGTGTGTATATATATATATATATATATATATATATATATACCTTGTTCACTGAGCCCTCAGACTTTCTATAAATTATACGAGTGACCCTATAATGTAACAATACTCATTTAAGGTAATGAGAAAAATACTGAAGAGCTGAGTAACTTGACATCAACAATAATACATCAGTTGAACCACACACACCATGTACGACTCTTACCAAGTTACCCAACCAAACTTGTCATAAATATCACCTTTAAAATAATTACTTTTAACTTTCTTGTTATGAAAAGTAAATAATCATTAAATATTAGATCACCATATAAAATAAGTAATAACTACTAAAGTAAACAATCTTGTATATCTAACACTTACTTATAAAATGGGTAAACATCACAAGTTTTGAATTTTCTTAAAAAGAGTTCAATATGAGCCAGATTATCATGGTACTGAAGATTTCCTGGTACTAATTAAACCCCTAGGAAAAATCCATTTCTCTTCATCCCTTAGTCTATATCTTGATAAGTTACAAATAACCTTATATAGAGAAACTACTAAACTCTTGCTGTGTTTACGAACTGCAGTTCCTTAAGATGATTGAAATGTTTTTTTCTTGAGTTCATTGTTGTGAAATGAAACAATTCAAATGGATAAAATCTATTAGGCTTACAACTCAATCTTATCTAGCTATACACTAGGAGATGTAGATAAAAGATTTTATCAAAGGGTTTACCATATTTGGAAAATGAGCCCCAGTAGGTGTGATTGAGGTTCCTATTAAAGCAATCAGGAAGAGAAGTCATCCAAAAATTTTAAATTGCATCAAAAGACCAAGAAAACTTTGAAGCACATTCAGCAGTAAAAATAAGATATTTTATTGTTCTCATTGTAACCATTTTTTCATTGTCTTACATCATTCAGCGATTGACAGGTTTAGATATGATTGATCAGGTTTCTACTAAGTACACAAATTGCCTGAGATGTAATGAACACATTGAAAACCATTCTTACAGTACAAATCAAGGCCAGTTTGAAGTTGCCCCGAGTAAAAGTAAATTTTGAAAGTTTCGTTACATTTTTTTAAGCAAGAGCTCAAATCCTGAACTTATGAGACATAAAAAGTTGCTTTATTTTGTAATAATAGCTCTGAGTAAAAATAAGAGCTTGTTTGACTTAATATCTTCCAAATTTCGGTCTTTATCTACATTAAAGCCTGTAGGTAAAGCTTATTTCAGTTCTTTTAAAAGTTGTGTACATATTGAAATACATTACTGTAATTAAATAGTTTAACCTTTAAAAAAAAAGAAAATTAGTGTAGTTGAAATGTTGTTGAGAGTGTGAGAAGTACAAAACAGAAGTCAAGTTATCAAATTTCATGGTTAAAAACAGAAAATTATTATTATTTTCATTTTTAACAGCTAAAGGGCGAGCATTGTATTAGGAGTGTGTGACAATACTTACTACTGACTGCAAAATAGAGGTTAGGATACAGTTGTATGGTTTCAGACAACTCAGTTTTAGCTGGGTCACTCTTTGAATTGCCATGATAAAGTATCATTGTTGAGACGAGTAAATGTCTAACTAGATAAAAGCTACAATTTTATTCTAAAAAACCTGACAATAAAATTTTAAGTTAAACAACAGTGTTAAACCGTAATCAGGAAAACTATAAAGGAGTGTGGTGTTTGTTTTTTGAAATTATTAAATATATTTACATATATATAATTATAAGTTGTTTCATTGTCTAATTGTAGGATGAATAGGCTGAACTCACTTCCTAGAGGATTTGGTGCTTTCCCCCAACTTGAGGTGCTTGACTTAACCTATAATAATTTAAATGAAAAAACTCTACCCGGCAACTTCTTTATGCTAGGTAGGTTTAACTTTAAGAAGTTTTTGATCAAGTGTAGCTGTGTAAAAGTGATATTGTTTCTATGTTGCATCACATCATATATAGAGATAACCAGAATCAGATTATATTAAATTGAAAGAGGTTTACTTTGTTCTGATATCAAATGTTAAAAAGTGTTACTTGAATATTTAAAGAATCTACTGGAAAGTGTATCGCACTTAACAGGAAAACAAGTCATGGTTGGAGACGGCTTGAATGGGTAATTAAGAAAAACTTATATTAAAGTTTTTCTTCATTACCCATTCAAGCCGTCTACAACCATTATTAGCCTCAAAGTGGGTTCCTCATCATTGAATAGGAAAACAAGTAGTGTTATCTTAAGTATTAGTATTATCATGGATACAGTCTTCAATTAAATCAATGTTTTCTGCAAATACATAGGTTGAATATGGCTAGTAATGCTTTAACTGGGGACTGTGCATCTTAATAATAGCCCTGCAACATAGTTTCCATTGCAAAAGGCTTCGTCATGTCTAAAGTACACCTCTCCTCACTGCATGCTTTTCATAATCCATCTGTTGTATGAGCACAACAGTTTCACAGCTGTCTGATCACAAAGAAATCCATGGAAACTGCATATATTGATGTGACTGTTATATTTTTTGTATGGATTAGCATGAATACCTGTTTCATACTTCAGCTGCTTGAGGTGTGCAGTGGTTGAACAGCTATGTTGTGGAAGCAACTTGTGTTGCTATTCTAGATGGAGATCCTGTTGACTATGTTGTATGCTGTTGCTTGGCACATGTGTACAGCTTTTGCTACTAACCTTTGTGTTTGTGAATTCTCACCTGTTACAAGGTATCACACTTTACTTACCATGACTTGTTGCAGGTCTTTTTCTGGAATATCTAAGTACCCAAAGTTGATCCATATTCTTTTGTTTTCCAATGCCATCAATTACAAGGGATATCCCAATCTTGATAATTTTGCATCAGAAAGAGCTGTTAATACCATTCCCAAAAAGCAATAAATTTTATCACCCAACCTAATGGCAAAATGTAGTTATGATAAATGCCATTCTACTATGACTTTATTTCACTTGTGAGTATCACGTGATATGCTATTTACATGTTTAAAACCATTTTAATGTAACGTACTCAATAGTTAATAATGTAAAAGTTAAGACATAAATCTAAAAATATGAAACTAGCATCTGTAACTTAAATAATAATAATATTGTTAAAAAGGTTCTAAACAATGTAAACGTAGAGTTTAAAACATGTAATATTATTTAAGATCTCTGAGCATTTTTACATTAACTACAACATACTAAATTGTAACTGACTTCATTGGAAAATGCCAACATACTGAATATTGTACCACATCTATAGCATGAACTATATGGCTGGTGAAGCAGTGTAATAATTGTGCATGGATCGAAGGTAAAAACTGTGTAATGTATCTACAATTGTATTTTAAATAAACTACTTTATTAACATTTGAGTTACTTTCAAAAACTTATTCATTTAACCTTTTAAGGTCCACAATGATAACATCCAATTTGAAGTCCCCCAATGGGACATTGGTAAGTTTCTGGACTTACAACATGAAAGTTTTGAGTTTGATTCCTCACAGTAGACACAACAAATAGCCCAATGTGGCTTTGCTCTAAAACAAACAAACAAAAACCCAATTTGCTTATTTGGTCCTTATAACATCTTAACTTTTGGTTATCTATTTAGGCCTGACCTAAAAATATGAACATAGCTAAATATGGGGATGGGGAAAACTTCAACCTCTTAGCTTTTGTTTTTATGAAAAAAGTTATTATATATGTTCACATAGAATTCATCTAACTAATGGGAGACTTGTCAGAGTTTATAATTACCAAAAGTATGTACGATCTTAAGTATATGCTATAAGTTCATATCTATTCCAATAAAAAATTTGTTATTAATATGATTACTTATCAATGTTGAAACATTTTTACATTTTGTTAGTTAATGGCTTTTGAAAAACCCTTTTTTTTCTTAAAAATAAGTATCCTCATGGACAATTTTTTATCTAAATTAAAAATACTGAGCAACACCTGTTAATATAATGTCTAATGTTAATTTATTTCTTAACTACAAAAAAATGTTCGTTATTTTTTCGTGTAATGGATTGAAAAATACATTTCATATTAAGAAAATTTTCATGCATTGTTTTCTGTTAGATGTTAAAAACTGAAAAATTAAAACCAAATTTTACACCCATTTTGAACTAATTAGAAAATATTTTTATTATAAAACAATTTTAATTAATGTTTCAAGAATATAATTAAAATTTATCTTGATTCTGATTTGTTATTAAAACCTCTGCAAAGTAATTTTGTTAATTTCACATTTTAAGAAACCCTGAGGGCCCTTTATTTTGGAGACAATGACTTTGAGAAAATTCCAGCAGAAATTGGTAACTTGAAAAATTTGCAAATAGTAAGTTTTTATTTTTTCTAAGTTACAATATATATATATATATATATATCAAAGTGTTATTGATTCTAGTCATTTTACAACAGTTTTGTTAAGTAGAAGTTTGGTTTAGTTTGCTGATTTACTATTTGTCATTTCTCCCATATCATTTAATGTTTTATTTTCTAATGATCTTGCAGTTTTATAAATGGTTAGAATTTCTTTGTAATTTTTTTATTTTAATTTTTGTGCAGAAGAAACCTCTTTGTTATTGATGTTTCGAATGTGGTTTCAACTCGCATGATGGGTGTCTTACCAAAACCCAAAATCACGGAATCATTAAATTCTGGATGTGAAACCACAATTAAACTTGAATTAGAAACAGATTTTGGCCATTTTTCATAACTTTAATGTTGAACTTATGAATCATGACATATATTTTAACTTCCATGTAAACATCTGACATTCTTGTGGTTTCAAGATATCTTTCCTTTAAGTTATTTTGTTCGTCACTTTCTTTGTTATGCAGACTTGCTCATGATCTCTCAGAATGCACAAAGCTGATTAATCTTCATAATGAATTGGACACTTGACACTTATATAGAATTAATTGATGGTACAATGTCTTGGTAGCTGGCATTTAATGAGAATTTTGCCCAGTTATAACTTAGTGTCTACCGTAAGTAGTGATATTTTATAATTTACTTTGTCAGCAATCTTACTAAAGCTAGTAAACAAATATATTTACCATCCACAATTAATGTATATCAACGTATCCAGATTTGTAGATATCGTAAATTAGACTTAAATCTTTTAAAGAAAAAAAAATTAAATGGCTGTACCAAATAAAAAGGTATTTCAAACTGAAGATTTCACCATTTTTATGTTCTTAATTTTCAATCTTCTGGGTGGATGGCATACTTTTAAAATGTTAACATTTTCTTAGAACACTTGCATATAAAACTTGAAAATACGTTAAATATAGATTCAAAATAATGCTAATATTACTGTGTTTGACTCTTTTTTTATTTTTTAAGTTTTTTTGTATTGCCAACAAATGTTAAATCTAAATTCATTTCAAATCAATGAAATTTCTAACCACTATATTATCTGTGGAGCCAGCTGGGAATCAGATATCCATTATATTTTAGTGTAACATACCATACTCCAACCAATCATTGCCTTATAACTTGGTCAAAGCATTTTATTTATTAAGCTGTTACTCATCAGAATTCTGTGTGTATATGTAAGAGTAATTTTAAATTATTTTGATACTTTGTTTTATTTATATATATATATACCTAATGGGGTCTGTCATGGCCTTGGTAGTTAGGGCAATCGACTCACAATCTGAGGGTCATGGGTTTAGATCACCAAACATGCTCACATGGTCACATGGGTGTAAAAATTCTTGGCTTCCAAAATTACTACCTGGTCCCAAACTAGTTGAGATGAAGGTCATTATGGAGAAGAAAGGATTTATATATTTTATAATCTAGTCTATAGTGTTCTGTAAATGAAAAAGATGTATACAAACAGGTTTGGGAGTAACAGGTTATTTTAGTAAGTTGTTACTGTAATAATGTTATATTTGTCGATAACAAGGTATTATTACATGTTTGATTTTTAATGGGAGTAATAATAGTATAGTTACTTTCTGTAAAAAAGATACGAGTTGATCTTTTCTAAGTTACTTAATCTGTGGAAACATGGTTACATGAAAAACTATAGCAAACAATGTTAATGTGTGTAATGGCTTTAGTATCTTATTATAGCAGTAAAGATTTAAATGTAAAACATCCTTTTAATGGGGAGATGCAGATTGAATTCCAGTATTAAACTAAAAACCTTAGGAAATTTTTTGGTTATAGAGCAAATATTTTATAAAATTTTGTAATGTCCATTGTTTCAGTTGGACTTTATTAAGCTGTTATCATCACTGGACAGAGTTTTACTATTTCTGATAACTTTGGTACTTAGTGTTTTATTTACATATTTATTATATATTTACAGTAAATAAAATATTGGTATTTGTTTTTCAGTTGTGTTTCAGAGAAAATGACTTGATTAGTCTACCGAAAGAAATTGGTCAGTTAACACGTCTACGAGAATTACACATACAAGGAAATGCTCTCACTCTTCTTCCTCCCGAGATGGGTAAGGTTACAGTTTAATTGAAAAAAATGTTGTTGTTTTTGTACACAGAACAGAAAGTTAGATATATATCTTAGGTTTGATTTTAAAGAAATTTCATTGTTCATGTTTTTATGTTTTCTCTAGTTGATGTAAGTGCTTTATAATTTCTGAAACTTAAGGAAACCAGGAATGCTGATAAACTGTTCAGTTATAAAATACTGAGTTTGTCATTTGCTGAAAGCTTTGATAATATGAAATACTAAGTCATTATTTTACACTTTATTGAAATGAAATGTATGAAAATGAAAGGTGTACATCAAAATTGATTTGTGTGAATGTGCAGTGAGCAGTAGGGTCCTACATTAGGCTTGAGAACTTAATAAGTAATTAGCATACAGAACTGTGAAATAAAGATCATTTTAAAATCTATTTAGCATTATTTTTATGGCAAGTGATTAGTCCTAATTGTATTGGAATTAGAATAATATAAGTTTTTCAGTCTTAAGAGATCGTAGCATTCACCAAAATATTTGCTTATGGTGTACTGCTATCCTGAGATGGCTGCATTACTACAGGACCAATGAAAAGTGCTGCATCATTTGTATATAGCTTGTAATATTCATTTCACTTCTTCTTCTGCTTTATTTAATAGCTAATATGTTCATCTTTTTTGTGCCCCACCAGCTATTACATAACTAGAATTACTGAGGGTGGGTTTTAGAAATTCAGTTGCCCCTTTTAATTGATAAGAATGCAGTTGATGATGGAATTAATTGAACATTCTTTTTAATTATATATTTAGTTTCCTATCATAGTCAAAAAAACATCTTGAGATATATTTAATTGATTAATGTTAGGTCTGCTCAGTATTTAAGAAGGATTGATAATTGGATATGTTTAATTGGTTAATGTTAGGTCTGCTCAGTATTTAAGAAGGATTGATAATCAGATATGTTTAATTGGTTAATGTTAGGTCTGTTCAGTATTTAAGAAGGATTGATAATCAGATATGTTTAATTGGTTAATGTTAGGTCTGCTCAGTATTTAAGAAGGACTGATAATCAGATATATTTAATTGATTAATGTTAGGTCTGTTCAGTATTTAAGAAGGATTGATAATTGGATATGAATCCTTCTTAAATACTGAACAGACCTAACATTAACCAATTAAAAGACCTAACATTAACCAATTAAACATATCTGATTATCGTTCAGTATTTAAGAAGGATTGATAATTGGATATGTTTAATTGGTTAATGTTAGGTCTGTTCAGTATTTAAGAAGGACTGATAATCAGATATGTTTAATTGGTTAATGTTAGGTCTGTTCAGTATCTAAGAAGGATTGATAATCAAGTTAAGAGTGTTTTTTTTTATATTTGGGTTGTGCATACGTAATAGCAGTTGTGAAAAGTAGATATGATGTAGAATTGTCAAAATAAAAACGGCTGTTTATGATCACAGTTGATTTTCTTCTTTGCTTGGATATTTGCCTCATACATTTATGTTGATTTTTCAAAACAACTGATGATGTAGAAAATATTGGTTTTCAAATTAATAATGTTTAGCACAAGCTTATACTATCACCTTTCTATAGTGAGTAAGTCAGTATGACTAATTACCTGTCTGTAGCAGTGAGTAAGTCAGTATGACTAATTACCTGTCTGTAGCAGTGAGTAAGTCAGTATGACTAATTACCTGTCTGTCGTGAGTAAGTCAGTATGACTAATTACCTTTCTATAGTGAGTAAGTCAGTATGACTAATTACATGTCTGTAGCAGTGAGTAAGTCAGTATGACTAATTACCTGTCTGTTGTAAGTCAGTATGACTAATTACCCGTCTGTCGTAAGTCAGTATGACTAATTACCTTTCTATAGTGAGTAAGTCAGTATGACTAATTACCTGTCTGTCGTGAGTAAATCAGTATGACTAATTACCTTTCTATAGTGAGTAAGTCAGTATGACTAATTACCTGTCTGTAGCAGTGAGTAAGTCAGTATAACTAATTACCTGTCTGTAGTGAGTAAGTCAGTGTGACTAATTACCTGTCTGTAGTGAGTAAGTCAGTGTGACTAATTACCTGTCTGTAGCAGTGAGTAAGTCAGTATGACTAATTACCTGTCTGTAGTGAGTAAGTCAGTATGACTAATTACCTGTCTGTAGTGAGTAAGTCAATACGACTAATTACCTGTCTGTAGTGAGTAAGTCAGTGTGACTAATTACCTGTCTGTAGCAGTGAGTAAGTCAGTATGACTAATTTCCTGTCTGTAGTGAGTAAGTCAATACGACTAATTACCTGTCTGTAGTGAGTAAGTCAATACGACTAATT